ATGACCTCATCCTGCTGACCTCTGACCCTCGTCAATGGGACTGTCTGTGGATGACCTCATCCTGCTGACCTCTGACCCTCGTCAATGGGACTGTCTGTGGATGACCTCATCCTGCTGACCTCTGACCCTCGTCAATGGGACTGTCTGTGGATGACCTCATCCTGCTGACCTCTGACCCTCGTCAATGGGACTGTCTGTGGATGACCTCATCCTGCTGACCTCTGACCCTCGTCAATGGGACTGTCTGTGGATGACCTCATCCTGCTGACCTCTGACCCTCGTCAATGGGACTGTCTGTGGATGACCTCATCCTGCTGACCTCTGACCCTCGTCAATGGGACTGTCTGTGGATGACCTCATCCTGCTGACCTCTGACCCTCGTCAATGGGACTGTCTGTGGATGACCTCATCCTGCTGACCTCTGACCCTCGTCAAGGGGACTGTCTGTGGATGACCTCATCCTGCTGACCCTCGTCAATGGGACAGTCTGTAGATGACCTCATCCTGCTGACCTCTGACCCTCGTCAATGGGACTGTCTGTGGATGACCTCATCCTGCTGACCTCTGACCCTCGTCAATGGGACTGTCTGTGGATGACCTCATCCTGCTGACCCTCGTCAATGGGACAGTCTGTAGATGACCTCATCCTGCTGACCTCTGACCCTCTTCAATGGGACTGTCTGTGGATGACCTCATCCTGCTGACCTCTGACCCTCTTCAATGGGACTGTCTGTGGATGACCTCATCCTGCTGACCTCTGACCCTCGTCATTTGGACTGTCTGTGGATGACCTCATCCTGCTGACCTCTGACCCTCGTCAATCGCTCCCTCTTATCCAATAAGACACATTACTGGTTCCTCCTGGAAGGTAAACCAATGGAAGTCCCAGTTTTTGGGGTACCACACGCCCCCTTCTATAAGGCAGCCGCCATTTTGTTTGGGAGTAGAAGGTGGTGGGATCGGAACTTTGAGTCGTCTACAATGGAGAGAATTGAGGCCTTTAAGATGCTGAAGCGGCCAAAACTACCGCTCCCCTTTGACCCGCTCCCTCTTCCTGCCCATGTGCGTCCCGATGTCTACGCGAGGAATGAAATCCGGATGTTCCAGAAATATTCTGACCGAAGGGGGGGATGGGACTCCGGCATACAGTGCGGCCATTGGTGGGTCTGGGTCTCCATGTGACATGAAGTCCCTTCTGGTGGGATCAGCCATCCCGGGAATCTCCTAACCCTACGGGCCACGCTGGCTGTCTGGAGGACCCGAGATTTGAGTCACCATCGGGGGGAAGTGGCCTGAGATGTATACAGACCCGCAGATCCGCCAACTACCGTGCACCTCCCTCCTCAGCGTGTACTGCCGCACGTGGGCCGGGAATGTGTGGAAAGTGCTCACCTGCAGCCTCTGGATCCGGCTGTACGTCCGGCGCAGTCTCATCTGACTGACTTTACGCTGCAACGTATACATGAGCGTGGCGTCCCGCACAGGATGAACGGACACGGCTCCCCCCAGTGCCGACTCCTCCAAATTATCCGTGTCTGCATTCCTCGGGAGACTGAAGGAGACGTAACGCAGCCCCTAGGAGGAGATTGAGGGGTGTTAGTGGGACACGTGAGTCCTAGGAGGAGATTGAGGGGTGTTAGTGGGACACGTAAGTCCTAGGAGGAGGTTGAGGGGTGTTAGTGGGACACGTGAGGCCTAGGAGGAGATTGAGGGGTGTTAGTGGGACACGTGAGCCCTAGGAGGAGGTTGAGGGGTGTTAGAGGGACACGAGTCCTAGGAGCAGATTGAGGGGTGTTAGTGGGACACGAGTCCTAGGAGGAGATTGAGGGGTGTTAGTGGGACACGTA